CTTCCTTCCTTCCTTCCTTCCTTCCTTCCTTCCTTCCTTCCTTCCTTCCTTTCTTTCTTTCTTTCTTTCTTCCTCCCTGCCTCCCTGCCTCCCTCCCTCCCTCCCTTCTGTAACAATAGAAGATAATAGATACAGTATTAGGATTAAAACCATGCCCCTTTTGCATATGCATCAACATTGCATGCCCACTCATTTAAATTAAGAAAGAATGACACAGAAAAACAGGGTTGGAAGAGACCTTGGACATCTAATCCAGCCTGCTGCTCAAGCAAGAATAAAGTAAAGCTCTTTCCTTTAATGAACTGTGATGGTGAAGTGGTTAGAATACAGTATGGCAGGTTAATGTATACATATACATATATAGTACATACACACACACACACACACACACACACACACACACACACATATACATACAGTTGCGCCAATAATGATTTTTACTGAAAAAATAATAGTTTTTGAAGCAGATGTACCAATCCTTGTCTTACCCACACATACACAAAATATTATTTAAAACATTTTTACCTGAGCCTAGAAAAATGGTATATGTTCTTTTAACGGAGTTTTGTTGGGAAAAAATGTCAGTAATACAGAAGTGGGGGAGGGAATTATTATGTAATCAGTTCAATTGCCTTAATTCTTTGAAATTAAAAAGCTATTAAAGTGAGTTCCTCAATGATTATTCCACCACAAAATGTGGCATGTAAATTATACTACAGTTTCCAAAAGAGAAAACTAATATAGGTTGCATATACAGAATTTAATACTAGAAGTTGAATTCATTTAGAAGTATTGGATTGTGCTTCAGGTGCTAAAATTCCTCATTGTATTCTAATATTTCTGGATACCATCAGCAGGTTGGGAAGGATAGTATACAATATGATTAAAATACCAGTGCATTATAAATTCACCCATTTGAATCACTCCAATTCAGACATTCTGCATCTCATTAATATAGCACTTCTGCATGCGATGGGTAGCACACAAATCAACCAATCAATCAATCAAACAAACAAACAAACATTTTTCTCCTAATCAGGGTTGTGTTAATATGGAAGAAAAAGTGAAGAAACCTGAAAGCATATAATTGGAAATTTGGAAGTGACCTCATCTGGAACTCTTTTCCGATATTATTCCATGAAACAGAACAGTTGCATGCTAAATATGCAGATTCCCTGAGATGCTAAACTATACACATACTAATCTCCATCACAGCAACCTCTGCAAATTTTGTGGTATATTTTGGTGTTTTGAACTTCCTGTAAATTATGGTTGTAATCCTTTACTCCTGCTCAGATACCAGTTTGATACTGTAGGGAAAATATTCTGGACAGATTATAATTTAACCTGTTGCTTCCAAGGCCAGGTTGAGTAATCTTAATAATCTTCTGCTATTCTCGTCTATCACAAAGAAATGTGACTGGGTGTCCAGTTTAGCTTGTGAAGATTGTTGGTTGCTGCTGTAGCTGAAAATTCTTCAGAGTTTCATGCAAGGCTGTTTCCTGATAAGAATATCTCTGTAGC